GCCTCCCAAGTAGCTGGGACCACAGGCGCCCGCCACAACGCCCGGCTATTTTTTGGTTGCAGCCGTCATTATTGTTTGGCGGGTCCGGGCTGGGGATTCGAACCCGCCACCTTAGGTGTACGTGGTTGAGCTATAGGCGCCGAGCCGGGTTCATAGTTTCTTAACTTTGGCTTATAGGTTGCTGCAAGACTATCATTGAAACCTTAGGTCATTACTAGTCTGCTCTGTGAAGATAATATCTTGCTGCATTATTTGCATTTCTCTTGTTGAACCTCAATACTTCACTTCCTGTGAAATGTTTGTTCAGATCCTTTGCTTTTGTATATGTATTTAATTGTTTATATCTTAACTGTGAGTCTTATCTTTAGCTCTTAGGGAAATTACTCTTTGTGATATAAAGTGCAATAAAGTCTTTTCAACCAGTTATCCTTTATCTTTTTTTTTCATCAATTTACCAAATATTTATTGAGTCCCTACTGCCAGTGAGGTACAGAAGGGTAGAGCAATCATAACTACACATTGCTATCATAATTCCATGCAACTTTGAAAAGGTATACATAAATAACATCTCATTTTTTAAAATGTATATGCATATATATTGCACCCCCCATATATTTTTGTCAAAAAAAAAAAGTAGTTAATGTGTATGTCACATAACATATAGAAATCTTGTATCCTTATAGATCCATATTTATCCCATCTTTTATGTTATGGTAGTCATATGTATTACCTATTTATGCATTATAAGCCCTTTAAAGTAATATTATAGTTTTTTTCTAAATAGTTTAAAGGTTTATAAGAACAATAAGAGGAAAAGGCAAAAAGGAAAATGTCAGTCTTTGAATTTATTCAGATATTTATTATTTCCAATGCTCTTCATTTTTTTCTGAGGGTCTGAGCTTGCATCTTATACAATTTCTCTTTAGTACAGATCTTCAGGTGATGAATTATTTCAGTTTATGTTGCTCTGTATCCTTTATCTTTTGATTTGGCTTGTGGTTTTGTCTCCTTAAGAATTATTTTATTTTATTTTTTATGTTTTTATTTATAAATTGGTTTTTTATTCTGGATTTTGTCATTAAGTAGAAAGAATTGTCCCTACTTTATGATTTAAAAATAAGTCCTCCTTGCTTTCCTTAATATTTTTTAAATTATTGGCTCAGTGCCCATAGCACAGTGGTTATGGTGCTAGGCACATAACATCGAGGCTGGAGGGTTCAATCCAGCCTGGGCCAGCTAAATAGCAATGGCAACAACAACAAAATAGCCGGGTGTTATGGTGGGTGCCTGTAGTCCCAGCTACTTGGGAGGCTGAGGCAAGAGAATTGCTTAAGCCCAAGACTATGAGGTTGCTGTGAGCTGTCACACCATGGGTACTCTACCAAGGGCAACAACGTGGGACTCTGTCTCAAAAATAAATAAATAAATAATAAATAAATAATTTAAATATTTTATTTTTTATGTCTAAACTTAGATATGTCTGTAAATTGTTTTGGTGTGATTTAGGGATCCAGTTTTTCTTGTTCTTCTCTTCCAGTTCTATATCCTGAATTTACTATACAGATATTGAAAATTGCTTGCTATGTTACTTCTTGGTATTGATTTCTTAATATACTATAGAACATATACTGTTGACCACATAAAATACATAGATTTTCCTTCATGAAAAGTTAACAGAGCACATGCTATATGGTTAGCTACTAATGATAAAATGTTGAAAAGACTCTAATCCTGACTTTTAGTTACTTATAGTCTAGTAGATGTGTGTGTGTAAGCACCTTGCTTCTTTGTTTCCTTCTCAGTCTTCTATTATTATGAGAATTTTTAAATAAATGGAAAAACTGAAAGAACAGTGCAGTGAACATCTGTAATATCACTTACTCTTTCCCCGTATTCCCTCCTTGCTTATCTCTCTCTGTGTAGTGTACTACGTGAAAGTAAGTCACAGGTGTCATGATGCCTCACATGTCAGTTCTTCAGCATGCTTCTGTTGTCTAAATTGATTATTATGTTAGAAAATACAAAAGAGTGATTTTCCATATCTGTTTTTTTCCTCTACATTTATTAGCAACTATTCTTCTGATAAAAAGTCTTTTCTTTTTTCCCTTTGATATTATAATGGACTCTTAACTGTTTTTTCTTATTCACCACCACATTGTTTCTAACTTTGTTTTTCTAACTCTGTGAGGAAGGAGAATAATAACTGTCTTTTTTCATCATTTTATCCTTCGAGTTTATCATGGTACCTACCATAGGCTTCCTAGTAATTATGTGCTGAATGACTGAATTAATAAATACTTTTAAGCAGTGGAGAACTATTAAAAGATCTCAAAGGAGGGCATGGTATGATTTTTGTTTTGCAAAGATAATTCTGGTGTCTTTAGGGAGGAGGGAAACTCGAGGAAACTTTCATTGAACTCTGTCAGTTAGGACTTGGATTACATATAATTCAACTCAAATCATCCTGAACAAAATTGGATCACAGGATCCAGGGATGGTTTGAAGAACCATCTACATGAAGGGTACATCTGGGCTTCAGGAACGAATGAAAGCTATGATGTCAGTGCAACTAATATTTTCAATCTTTGTTTCATTCTGTTTTTATCATTTCCAGTTTGCCTACTCATGGACCAATTAAATGTGGTTTGGGCATAGGGTTTGTAAGAATATGGTTGCTTCCTGGATATCCATGTGAATTGAGCCAGTAGAAGGGATTGTATTAGGCCAAGGAGAGATGTGGAGCATTAGACTTAGGTGCGAAGTGGAAGAGATAGATTTTAGAGAGATTAAGTGGTACAGTTGAAAGGATTTGAAAAGATTTGTCCAAAGGGAAGGAGAATTGGAGTAATTCTGACATGAGCAACTGCTACTTTAGTGAATGTTACTTAAGTGAGGTAGATGTCAGAAGAACATGCTTGGGGGGGTGTGTGGGCGGTGCCTGTGGCTCAGTGAGTAGGGTGCCAGCCCCATATACCGAGGTGGTGGGTTTGAACCTGGCCCCAGCCAAACTGCAACAAAAAAATAGTCAGGCGTTGTGGTGGGTGCCTGTAGTCCCAGCTACTTGGGAGGCTGAGGCAAGAGAATAGCCTAAACCCAAGAACTGGAGGTTGCTGGGAGCTGTAACATTACAGCACTCTACCAAGGGAGACAAAGTGAGACTGTCTCTTTAAAATAAATAAATAAATAAATAAATAAATAAAATATATATATAAAGTTTGATTTTAGAGATACTAAGCTGGAATTCTCTAAGGGACACGGGAGCTAGTTGAGTGTAGACATCTGAAATCTTGGAAGAAAGATCTAAAGTACCTTTAAAGAAGTTAGTAGCAAAAGTAAAGACTATAGAGGTAAACAAAATAGTTCAATCTGAATGTATAAAATAAGAGAACTAGAATCCTGGAGAAAAGTTAATATTGAAGCCATGTGAACTGAGGAAGATGAAGCCTATAAAGCAAATTAATAGGCCAATTCGAAATGTAAGAAGAGGCTCAGCGCCTGTGGCTCAATTGGCTAAGGTGCCAGCCACATACACCTAAGGTGGCGGGTTCGAATCCCCAGCTCGGGCCCACCAAACAACAATGATGGCTGCAACCAAAAAATAGCCGGGCGTTGTGGCGGGCGCCTGTAGTCCCAGCTACTTGGGAGGCTGAGGCAGGAGACTCGCTTGAGCCCAGGAGTTGGAGGTTGCTGTGAGCTGTGAGGCCATGGCACTCTACCCAGGGGGATAGCTTGAGGCTCAAAAAAAAAAAGAAATGTAAGAAGAAATAGAGTATCAGAGGAACCAAAGGAATTTTATCTAGGAGGAATGTGTTATATAAGATTAACAGACATCATTGAGGTTTCTCTGATTTATGTGGAATGGGAGAGACTTTTAGCATATAGTTTTGAACAGTGAACAGTTTTTTATTTGTTCTAGGTTGGATAAAATTTATTCTTGTTTAAATATTTACCATTGTAAACATTAACTACTATTTATTAGTATTAGTGCAGAGAAAATGAGACACTGAGATCAGAGAGCTGGGTTCTGATCTCAGTTCACCATAATTATCGTTGCCACTTTTATATTCCCTTTTATGTGTTAGTCATTGTGTTGGTAGGCCTTTTATATATACTATCAGTAATCCTCACCACAAATTAATTTCTAAGGTGAGTATTTGCTATGTTATATAGATAAAGAGATTTCAGAGTTTACTGCTCAGCGTCACGTAGATTTTTCAGGATCATACTTTGATTTCAACACAGATATGTATGATCTGAAGTTGGTGCTCTTTTTTTCTGTATCATATTGCCTTCCTTCCTAACCTAAAGTAGTTTCTCAAGTTTTGGATCCCCATTTCCTTAACTGTTAGACAGGAATAGTCCTATCTGTCATACCATCAAAGTGTTAAACGAATACTGTGGTAATATTATCTATATTTTGTTTGAAGAAATATATATTTGGTTAAATACCAGACCTTATAATTGCGGTCATCTTTAGCAATATCATTTGTCTAAACGGTATTTTACTTTTTAAGGTGGTGGTATCATGGATACAGAAATGTCTGAAGATATAGACCACAACTTAACTCCTACCCTTGACAGCATGTCTTATGGAATGCCGAATCAAACAGGATCTGAAAATTCATTGCTGGATGAAGATGATTATTTTTTGAACTCTGGGGATCTTGCAGGAATTCCAGTCGTTGGTAGTGACAATGAGGATGAACAGGATTTTAGTTCAAAGGACAATCTTGCTTCTTCAGTTCATACTGATGATAGCTTGGAAGTAGAGAGAAATGTCACACAGCATGAATCAGACAATGAACATGAAGTACAAATTCAAAATAAATTAAAAAAAGACTTTCCTAAACAGTTTGATCAGGTTTCTGTCTTTAAATCGATACGGAAAGATTTTAGTCTAGTGAGAGAAAACAGCAAAGAGACATTTTCTGGAAAGGAGAAAAATAGAGACCTAACTTATCATGAACGTGAAAAACGGTTGGATAAACCCCATAAAGATTTGGATTCAAGGTTGAAAAGCAGTTTTTTTGATAAAGCAGGTAATAATTACTGGAATAGAATCATAAAACACAATAACAAAGTGCTGATAATAATATAGCTTTTACTACTTCTGATGTTAAGTTTGAACAGTTAAATTCATTGTAATCTTGTCATTTTTCTTTTATCCTTGTTCTTTGCAGAATGACTGAATTTCTCCCAGTAACTTTTGATAATGGTATAAATGGTTGAAAATAGCTCTAAACCTCATTTCTCCCTCCCCTGATTGCAATATTTTGATGAGAAGGCAAGATACTTGAATCACCTGTTCATTTTCTTGGGTTGAACATTGGAACCTGAAGTTGGATTTAACTTCTTTGTGCTGTAAGCACTAATTCAAACTGCTGTCCCACCAATTAGTCCAAATTAGGAAGGATTTTTTTTTTCCTTTAAATAAAATTTCTAATTTATGTTTTGGTAGTTTCTTGAGGTGCCTCTTGAGCCTCTTTGCCCAGTGTACCCTATACTTTAGTTCCTGTTACATTCTTGAGTATATCATATATTGTCTCCTGTGCCTTCCTTTCCTCTTGCTGTTCCATTTGCCTGAATATCATTTTCTCTCCTTGTATGTATGCCTGTAAAAATCCTATTCGATAATGCCTAACTCATAAGCCTCTTCTACTCTGTATCATCATTCCTAACGCTCTACATCAAGAATGAATTGTTTCCTTATCTATATTCTACATTATTTTATTCATGCCTTATTATTTATAGTACTTAATCACACACTATTATAGTTCTCTGTTTTACCTTACCTACTAGTGTAGGAGTTTCTTGAGGACCAGGTTGTATCTTACTCATCTTTGTATTCTTGGGGTCTAACCTGATGAAGTAAAAATAATCTTTAATAGATATGAAGGAAAGCAAGTATACTATACAAATCTTTACATTTCTTCTGTCAGTACTAGGATACGTACAGTGGAAAGAATAAACCAGTATTGTTTAAAAAGAACAAGTATTTTGAGTATTCATTATGTGCAAGTTGAGCAAGGGCATACTAAATTTTTCAAAACATAGAATTCAATGTACTGTATTTTCAGCATTCCCTATAAGGGATATTGAAAATTAAGAGAATTGTTTTTCTCAAGAAATACGATATCTAGAGAAAGGACATGACAAGTCAGATAGTAGACATTGTCAATGACCAGGTGAATAGCATAAGATATAATTAAAAACAACAGTAGAAGAGTTTGTCCTAAGGTAGTACAAGAAGACTTCTTTCAAATAATTCAAACAGTGTGGTTTAGGGATTTTTAGAAGAGAAATGATTTTTAACTTAGTGAACAAGGAAGGTTTTATAGAGGAGAGATATTTTGAACTGACCTAAGTCTGGAAAACTATACAAAGATTAGGATAGACAGAGGAGACTTGGGATGGAATAACTGGAAATGAGAGAGAACAAACACAAGTAATTTTCAGAACATAGTGAGTAAAGTAACCACTTTTATTTAGGTTTGAGCAAGGAAAAAATGTGGGGTAAGGCTAAAAGTTTGGTGGGGCCAGATGTGCAAAACATTGAGTGAAAATACTTTCTGGGTTTTTTTGGGACCCAGTTCACTCTATTGAGCATCTGTGTTGGAAAAGCAAGGTGGTTATCAAATGATAGCTTTTGAGGTCACTCTTTCTGAGATTTGTTATTCATATACATGTGTTTGTTTGTTTTTTTTTT